AGTCACTAACATAATTTTATGGGATTACTTTGCACAGGGTCCTATACTTTGTATTGGTGTAACATGAATATCAGCAGCTTCAATCAGTAAATGTCAAAATCTTAATTGCCAATTAAGTATTTTACACAGTGTTTCTGATGCCATCAGTTATGAAGAAACAACTCTTCTGCTCTCACTCATTGCTTCCTTAGCTTCCTGCATTAACACTTACATGCCACTACATCTTGCAAAGAGCTGGTTTTGAAAAAGTTACCTTAAAGTTTCCCTCCTTTCTGCAATCTAACCTGCCAGGGGTTGCACAGGGAGACACTGCCTGGTATCTACCTTTTCCACCTGAGCCCAGGTCCTTATGACCTGAGCTGTGGAACAGAGGGGCTTTATTGATGGCAATGCATGTGACTAATTTAGCTTTTACAGGGCATTTATGTTTATTGGCTGCTTGACTGGCAGATATCCTTAGAGAAGAACAGAACAGTTACATTATCAGTTGATTGTGAAGATTAACATCTGTTGAAAGCTTTGAAAGCTGATCTTGCTTATAACGCCTCTTCATATGGGAAGATTTTCTGTTATAAATGTCAGTTATCAATGAAGATATTCTGCTTAGGTATATGACATTTCATGCTGAAAATGCATGGGGTTGAACATTCTACACAGATGTTTGCTACACATGTCTATCCTTAGAAGAGAGATTCTGCTAATGGAAAAAACTTGAGAATTCCATTACAGATACAATAAGCTTTGACATCAGTATTTATCACCCCTGGGACTCAGAGGTGTTAAATGACAGGACTGACTGAAATGTGTAACTTAAAGAGTGTGAGATGGCAACACATAGGTTGTGATCTTCCCTCCTGTCCAAATTAATGGCAAAATAGCTATTTAAGGAGTCTGGATTCATCTTTAGACCTGATAAAATAATGGATGTTTTTGGATATTATGCATGTTTATCTAGAGTTGTATGTGTAAATATACTTCATTATATAAAAAAGTGTATAAATGCATACACACGCATTTTGGGATGGATATTTCCATGATTGCTGCTCAAAAATGTCAAATTCCAGAGGGGTTTTTTGGTTCCCTGTTTTCTGTCATGCACTGTGGTGAAATATAGAGGCCAGGGTTTTACACACATGTGGGCTTTATTTATCCACAAAACCATATAGGTCCTTTAAAGAAGGAAGAAGAACAGAGAGTATGAAAATATCCTTCAGTAAGTGATGAGCATCTTGCATCTCTTCTTTGATTGTGTCTCTTGTTTATGTATATTCATGCTGCGAGTGATTGCAGGCAGTCTTTTTCTTGGTTTTTTTTTTTTTTTTTGTCCTTCTGGTGATGGTGTGGTCTTTCAGGCTAATGGCAAGTGAAGTATCTCTTTTCCCAATGTGTTTCTGTGATTGAGATGAACAGGACTCTTCTTCCCTGGCTGGGCTTGAGACATTACTGGCTGTGAGCATGGCCTGATTTCTGAATGTAGGTTCTACAGCAGATTTTAAGCATTAAGGACTTAAAGTGTAGCAGTAATTGTGGAATGGTTTCATAAAAATTCCTGGGCTGGTGAAGAAACACGAGGCTGATTTAAAAGGAAAATGGAACATAAGTGAAATTAGGGTAAAGAAGGCTCTTGCAGACTGAGGTGCTGTGTGGTGTGGAAGCCCAAAGCAAGCCCAAATCTGAATGAAGAGTTACCACGTTTCTTCCTTCACTCTAAAAAAGGAAGATGAGATAAATGACAGGAGAAAGGGGTGGGAGGAGAGGAAATTTGTTTTTTCTTCTTGGCTGCTTGCTTTTTGCAAAATGCCTTACGAATGCTGTATTCAGTGTCTGTGCAAGTCTTTGTCATGCATGAGTATATGCAGTATGAACATGCATATGAACAGATATTGGGAAAAGAACTGATACAATTCCCTTTTGAAAATGTAATACATCAGCTTTAAGCCTGGTTCCCTTTCTAGCATTTGTATCTGGTTTATGTTTCTTTGACTGTGTTACACAATTACATTATTGCTGTCACTGTAAGTATCCATTACATAGGATTCTCTCAGTGCTTACCTAGATAAAAAACTTATTCAGAGAAGCTTTAATATATTACTATATGAAAACAAATTGTAGAAACTTCTATTATGATTTAACTTTTGAAAACAGCAGTGTAATAGAATGATAGATGTTATCATATGTCACAGTATTTTTATAGACTGTAGGATATTGCAAATCCCATTGAGAAGCAATGGAAATTTAGAATATTTTAAAGAGTTTCAAAATATGACTGTTGAGATGAACAGGTCTGCATGAATGGGTCTGACAGGTTTATAGACCCTGCAAAGCTCACTCTGTTCTTTTAAATGTTACATTGAACTTATTTGACCAAGATATTCATGTAAGTATGAATCAAACCCCTTATTTCTCACTTATGAGTGTATAGTAAATGTGTATAGTATACACATTATGCTCTTTATAGCCTAACTGAATCCCCATGCTTTGAGACTTTCACCTTTCCCAAACCATTCTCTTGACTGTAGTGCTAGAGATAGTTACCCCTTAGATTAATTTCTTAAGGCAAAAAAGCTTGATGGAGTCTTTCTGTTCCTGTTCAGTAATTTTTCAATTAATTTCCCACCAAATTTTATAAAAGGCTTGGTGTCTTGAGAGATCCTGTGTGTTTCAGGGGCTGGGAGTGGAGAGAGATGTTTTTTTAAGAGTCCCTCAAAGGGGGTAGATAAGGCTGTAGTGGAAGTTTAATGTTTAGTAGATGCAAAAAACTCAGCTTGATAGACCAAGAATGTCCCAACCACAAGAAAAGTTTTAATTAAATTTGGTTGTTTATTAAGCAGTCTAGCCAGAGGATGGACTGTCAGTAGGTTCCGTGGCTCACAGGCATCTCTGTTTTGCCATCAGCCCGTGATTGTGGGCAGATCTTCCTCAGGAGCCAACTTCCCACCAAAGTGATGCCACGTTTTACCAGCTCCATACCTTCTGATTCCTCTCAACTGCAAACAGAGCTGCAGTAATTAGACATTTTGCCTTTTCTTCAGGGATTTGGGCTGCACTATTTCATGATGGTAACAATGTTATTAGCATTCCCTGCAAAAGAATTCTCGAGGTTTGAGGGGTTTTTTTCATTTCTCAATGTATTCTGCAAAAATGTACCTAAATTGCTCTAAAATACCATATGTAGTTTCCACAAAAGGAAAAAATCTTTTCCTTCATCTCATACCCTCACACATCCAACAGTTTCATAGTATAGTAATATATTTCCATATGATACATGCAGTCAGTGCAGATTTAGAATTTATAAAGCTGCTTCTTTCAACTTCACAGTGTTGAAGCAGAGCCAGAATATGTGAAAATTAAATGCACACAGTGGGCACGAGTGTCACGTTCCTGTCAGAGCTGTGTCAAACCTCAGCCTCTCTGCTTCTTTCTGCACATTTTCAAAGAAATAATTAGAAGCTGGTCTTGCTCAATCACATCCCTGGAATGTTTAGGTTATTCCTGGTAGTATTTCATAAGAATAGCATAATCATGAATAATAATAGTAATTATTTCTATCATCAATATTAGAATTATTTCCTCACAAATGCAAGTCCACAATGAAAATATTGAATTCATATTGAATTTTCTGTAGCATAAAAGATTGCAGGTGGGAGTTACTATGGAGTAGCTTAAATCCATTTCTGTCCTATAATATCTTGGTCATTCAGTCTTATCAACTTATCCAGGGCTAAAAATATAATAACAAATAATCATAAGTGTCACTTGCCTGTATTCTGGTTTTTATTTTATTTCAAAAGTTTTTGAAGGGAAGAAAGTACTTCATGTTATTTGCTATTACCAGGAGTGCAAAGTTGGTGGTTTTCAGTATCTCAGTATCTACATGTGCCTTTGGTTGATTGCTGCATCCCAAATAGAATTTATATGTGACAGCTGGAACTTTTCATTTTCTTGCTTTTTTTCCCCCCTCATTTGGAATTTCACCTGTGATTCCATATATTTACCTAATGGTATAAACCTTAGGGTAATTCATATAAAGTGAGGGGTCCTTGATTAAAAAAAAAAAAAAAGAAGATATAACTAATGAGAAAATCAGTGTGTATTTTCTCTACTACTGTTTCTTTAAGAATGATGGAAATAAAGATATACCATTTTATGTAGTTCTGCTGTGTTTCAACATTTGTAGCAGATCTCTGCCTTACAGACTTTGGCAGTATCACAAAGGTCATATTTTCTTACATTTAAATTATTCATGAAGAATTTCTTCAATGCACTAGATAAACTTGAAATGCAAAAGAAAAAAAAAACACAATAAAAAAAACCCTGTCTTCATCTGTGTGCATTTGATGGAATGGATTAATGTAAAGTTATGGGAGTTCACAAAAGAATAGGATTAATAGCTATAAACATTTTTGTGGTTGACTTGATATCACTATTTTTTGTGACCAAGACCATATTGTTGCTGTGGGCTGAAGTATTTTATACCCATTATGGATGGGGCTTCAGGGTTGGAATTAAACCTGGCTGGGTAGGAAATTCTGCTCCTACAGCTCTGGTGAAGAAAGCAATAGGAGAGGAAAGAGAGCAGAGCTGAGAGCTGCCAGCCCAGGTTCCAGCTTTAGCCCATCTCTGAAGTGGAATAATTGCCTTTCAGTCCTGCTGTCCCCTCCTGTCACATCTCTCAGTGGGATCTGGGAAGATCCACAGCATTCTTAGCTTGAAGAAAGTCCTAGGAAGGTTGCTTCCTGCCTCTGAGAGATTCTTTGCTGAAGCAATTTTCCTGGTTAAAAAAACCAAAAAATCGATCAGCACACTATTATTATTTTAAGAGATGTGCAGATGTGATGTAATTTCAGGAAATGTGGTACAAAGGGCCTGGCTGGGGAGCCTGGGGGGCTGTGCATGGCAGTAATGGAGTGTAACCATGGGAGGTTACAGTGCCATGACTTGGCTGCTGGGGTTTTTTCATTAGTCATTGCTGATCTTTGATCCTCTGTCCTCTTTCCCAGGTCGTCCCATTCCACCTACATCCTCGTCCAGCCTTCTCCCATCTGCTCAGCTGCCCAGTTCTCATAATCCTCCACCAGTTAGCTGCCAGATGCCATTGCTAGACAGCAACACGTCCCATCAAATCATGGACACCAACCCTGACGAGGAGTTCTCTCCTAATTCATATCTGCTGCGAGCGTGTTCAGGGCCACAGCAGGCTTCCAGCAGTGGTAAGAAAATTGCAAACATATGGAGTTTGTTTGTGACATGTTTGTGCCAGTTTTATACCTTCTTTTTGAATGTGAAAATGTGTTCTTGCATCAGCAGAAAATCGAGAGCATCTACGGAAATGGGGCAAAGAAAACCTTACTGGTTTATTTAATGGAAAATTCCTGGAAACACAATCCATCATAAATGGTGTTCCTTCATTTTACTATAGAGAGATTTTTAGTTTGAAGTGTGGTAGGAGCTGTGTAAAAAATATTATTGAATTCTTGGCATAAGAGGGATTTATTTTTCAAAGTAGGTTTCCTGCTCCTTGTTGCATCTGGTAGGAGAGAAATGTACACACAATGGTTCTTTGTTCTGCATGGGCTAATCTAATATATCATTTGGTGATGAGGTTTTGTATCTAAAAATGCATGTTGCTTCTGCCAGTCTGTGTCTGTTCTTGTTTCTGAATCTGTCTGGTTCTGTACTTGCAATGTCACGTTTAACTAAGATCTGCTATTTTTCAGCAAATTAATTCTTGTCTTTCAGGCCACTGTTTTAAAACATTTGCAGCTCTATCAGTCATGGAATCTGTAGTGCCTAGGGTTTTCTTTCATCTCTTTTCCCTCTTTTCATTTTTTTATTTTAATGTTTATTAGTAGGTGCTGACTTTTCATTTTGACAGCCAAAAACTGTGGAGTGAAGATGCAGTCCCCTTTTAGAAATACAGAGAAATCAAAAGAAGCTATTCTAGCACCTTTTTTATTATTAGAGATACATGTTGTTTGTTATTTAACTGAACATAGTAGATTTAGAGCTTCCGTGCAGTTTCTGGTCTGCCCAGGGAGTCTCTTTGCTGTAACAAGGGAGCTCTGAGCAGCACGGGAGGTTCTGTGTGGTGTGGGACTGCGGGGTGCACCCAGCACACCTGAACACCCCCCTTTAACAGGGGCTGGGGGTGTGGTGGGAGGTGAGCAGGGAGCAGAACTTGAAACAGAACATTGGGTGGACATTAGGGATAATTTTTTCCCTAAGCATTGGGTTAGAGCAGGTGGCCCTGGGAGCCTGTCCAGCACCTGTCCTTGGAGCTTTTCGAGAATGCGTTGGCTGAAATCCTGCAGCTGAAATCCTGAGCTACTTGCTCTGACCTCAGAGCTGTCTTTGCTTGCCAGGAAACTGGACTGGGCCCCTGTAGGCACAGTTTGTGAGGATTGGGATGGGACTGGCCCAGCCCCATCCCCAGTGGGCACAGCTGTGAGCAGCAGGTGAGCAGCACTGACAGCAATGAGCCATGGAGTGCCCAGGGGCACTGACCAACCACCAAAGGGAGCAGAGGGCACACAGGGGCAGGGCATGGACATGGAGGGGGTAAAAGGTTGGGCTGAAGAACAAGAAGTGGAGAAGCTTAAAGCTTTCTGATATTGTATCATGATACTCTGTGTGTGGTGGCCATGTCAACAGCAACATGTGCTGCACCTCCTGGGGCTCCTTCCATCCTGAATTATCCTTTAACCCTGTTAAGGTATGTTAAAATATAATTGCACAAGGAAATAATAATTCATAAACTGAGTGTACTTCCTTGCTTCTTAAGTGTATTGGAAAATATGATGCCACTTTGTAGGGGGTTTTAAGAGATTTGGGGTGATGTGGGATCTGCAGGTCTCAAAGTCTGTAATGGGCAACTCTGTAGAAGCCATGGAAATGGGGAGGGGGTCAGCAAGTGGGTGTAATTCATCTTTGAGTCAGTGTAGTTTCATGCCTTAGAAACATTCAAGCGGATTTTGCAGGATTCAGCCATTTCTGACTGAGGGTGATCCAGCTGATTGAAGGGTCTTTGTGTTTTCAAAAGGGTCTCAGCAAAATCTGTCACTAAATGCCTTCAAGGAAGCATTTAACCTAGCACAGGGTAAGAGGGAAGGTTCCTGCATGGTGAGCAGTTATTTGAAAGACAGTGAGCGGGAGTTGGAGTTTCCCAATGAATTTTCACAGGACATTAAAATACTCAGAGAAGATGGTGGGGTAGGAAAGTAGGTGATGGCAGGGTGCTAAGAACAAGGTCAGCTTGTGGAGAATCACAAAAGCACCTGTGAGTCCAAGTAACAGGGAAATAAAATGACAGGGGACCTTAGGGCAGAGAAATGTAAAGGGATATTCATGGAAAAAGCAGCTCTGGTTCCTGGGTTGGTGATGGATCATTACCTGTGTGCAGGGAGGAATGCTTGCCTTGTCTCAGAGCTCAGGAACAGGGAATGCTCACAGCTGAAGGAAGGAATAAAAAGTGAGAGAACACAGTCTAAAAGGTGTGGTGGATCAAGCAGTTGATGAGATTTTAAAGGGGAATGGAAAAAAGTAAATGGGAGAGGGATGAAATAAGGAGAAAAAAATCAAGGTCAGGGAATTTGAGCTAAAAAAAAGAGACTGGGTGGATACTTGAGTCCTCGGTAATTACAGCCACTGCTGGGACTGAGGGAACCAGCATGGCTTTTCTTAGGAAGCCAAATGAAGGAAGTGGCAGTAAAACAACGTTAGAAAATTTGATGGAAGAGCTCTTTATGTTTCATTTTAAATCATAATCACTGCTTGTTTGTATCCTTAAAAGCTTTGTGTTTAACAGTTACTGTGGGCTGACCCAAGAAACCTTTTTGGCATACTCTGATTGGCTTTTCTTTGTTTATTCTACGTTTTAACACTTTTTCCCCCCACATATCCCATTTACTTCTTTAATAAACAGTAATATAATATATAATGACTTTTAATTTTCAGGGTATAAGACGCAGGTGCCCTTTTAAACTTTAATAAACAGTAATATAATATATAATGACATTTAATTTTCAGGGTATAAGATGCAGGTGCCCTTTTAATTTTTTTTTTTTTTTTACCATACACACATGCATAATGGCTTGGTCAGCACAGAGTGTTCTGTAGCATGAGTTATTCTGGATTTAATGGATCCTCTGCAAAATAATGAGCATTTCCTAGTGGTGTCAATTTTTTTTAGTTCTCACAATGTTTCTTTTTAGAGCTTATAAAAAAATACGACAGATAATGACTTATACATTAAATTGGAGAAAGTTACTACTTTTTGTGGCTTATCATTATCCTTGAAAGATTTTCAGAGTGGCTTTTACCATCTACATGAGAAGAAAACATTGATTATGCTCTGGTTGTGGGGTTTTTCTTTATTCTTCTTTTTAAATTTTTTAGTACATTTTTTTTAGTTCCTTTGGAAACCTGGCAATATAGATCCAGACATTTGAATTTGAGAGACAATAATTAAATGTAAATATTTTGCTTAAGTATGGGCTTGGGTTAAAAAGGAAGATTTGTATATGCTTATATATAAGGCTTAGATCCCAGATAATTGTCAATCATTCATAATTTTTTGCTAGCATTTTCTAGCTGCTTCTTTAAATACTTCTATCCTACTCTTCAAAGTACATGCTGAATATGAAATATTTGCCAATGTCTTCTACTAATTACACTATAGAAGCCTCTTGTTTGTCTGATTGGATACTTCTCTTGCTTCAAGCTCTGCAATTACAGGTGGTTCCTCAAGAGGTTTAAGATGAACCTTTTTGGATATGAGGAGCCACTCATCCACATGTGCTGCCCTGTGCCCTTCACAAGAGCCATGCTTAATATATATGGAAAAAATCATTTTCCTGAAAAAAAATACCTAATCAAATATTCTATCAAATGAGAAATCTATTGTTGATATTATAAAGGCCTTTAATCTACAATAAATCTTAGTTAGAACTCATCAGAACTCCCAGTTTGAGAGAAATGTGATTATAGCACTCTTAAAATGACATTACATCATCGGGGTGATTGGTTTATCATTTGGAGAAGCGACATCAATCATAACTAGCATAACCACACAGCAAATGAATTCAACCTTTCTACTGCAGAACAATGACACAATAATTGCTCAAAATCAAACCTGAAATGAAATCAGAAAAAGCACTTTCTTTAAATATGATGTTAACCTAATGGAATATATTATTAAAAATCATGTTTGAGGAAGTTCTATGTAATTAAAAATATGTGAAAATGTATTCCTTTTTTCTCTCATTAGAACCTGTTTCAGTTGCAGAATCATTTTCTATGCAACAAGAGATTATGCTGGTTTTAATTGAACTCCCATCACTTACATTCCTCTGCTTGTATTTCTTAATATAATATGCAGCACAATTATATGTGATGAAGGACAAGAGGTTTTTGAAATCTGGTGCACCTGCTGATAGTATTTGCAAAAACACAAACAATGTAGAAGGAGATGAGACCTTTTAGCCATGAAAAGTTAGTTTGTTTTATTTTCCTTTTAAAAGAAGGTCAGTTCCTGCCATACCATTTCATGAGATGGTTTCTTACATGTAACAATAGGAACAGGTTTATTTCTTCTTCTTGTATGTGTTTTATATATATTTTTTTTTTATTTTTTTTTTTGTAATATAAGGTGACTCAGCTTGTTGAAATGCCATTTTAATGGCATTATTATATCAAAATACAATATAACAGACTGGTTTTCAACCTTACGTGGAAAAAAGAGAAGGGTTTTTGTTGTTTGCACTTTTGCCTTTACTAGAGAGGGTTTATTGTTATTAAACCAAATTTTGAACTCACAACACAAAACCACTTTGTTTCTTCATTTTTCAGTCCAAGTAAAAGACACAGGATAGACCTACTCACACATTAGGTTTTCATATAATGGATCCATAAATGGACACATTCATCAGCTTCAACCACTCTAACAACGAGAAATAGAAGCAAAATTATCTCTGGAGTATTTTGATTTGGGGGAAAATTACAAACTCTGGTTTAGATATTGTCATGATTGCTGTCAAGAACTTGCTGAAGTTTAACTGGAGTGGTACCCATTTTTTTGTGTGTTAATGTGTCTTTTTGGCTCAGAAACAGTGATACAAAGCATTTGGCTCAATGTAACAATATCTGCCCTTGGCGTAGTTTGGACACTGCTTAGAAAACAGAGTATGCTTTGATTTTTTCACAAGCAGTTTTT